TGACATTTTTTATGCCTTACTATACTATGACATTTGTATGCCTTTGTATACTATGACCTTTTTATACCTTCCTATACTGTGACGTTTTTACGCCTTACTATACTATGATGTTTTTATGACTTTTTTTATGCCTTACTATACTATGACATTTTTTTATGTCTTACTATACTATGACATTTTTCATGCCTTACTTTCATATGATGTTGTTATGCCTTAGTATACTATGACATTTTTTATGACGTTTTTAGGCCTTACTATACTACTATATACTATACTATACTATGACGCATTTATGCCTTACTATACTATGACGTTTTTAGGCCTTAGTATACATGATGTTTTTATGCCTCACTATACTATGATGTTTTTATGCCTACTATACTATGTCGATTTAATGCCTTACTATACTATGATGTATTTTATGATTTACTATACTATCACATTTTTATGCCTACTATACTATGACGTTTTTATGACATTTTTATGCCTCACCATACTATGATGTTATGCTTAACTATACTATGATGTATTTATGCCTTACTGTACTTTGACGTTTTTTATGCCTAACTATACTATGATTATGCCTTACTATACTATGATGTTTTCATAAAATTTATTATGCCTTACAACAATATGATTTTTTTATGCCTTACTATACTATGACATTTTTATGGTTCACTATACTATGACATTTTTATGGTTCACTACATTATGACGTTTTTATGCCTACTACACTATGACGTTTTTATGACATTTTTATGCCTAACTATACTATGACATTTTTATGCCTAACTATACTATGGCGCATTTATGCCTTACTATACTATGATGTTTTTTTATGCCTAACTATACTATGACATTTTTATGCCTTACCATACTATGATGTTTTTAGGCCTTATTATACTATGATATTTTTACACCTCACTATACTATGACGAGTTTATGACATTTTTATGCCTTATTATACTATGACGTTTTTAGGCCTTACTATAATATGACGTTTTTTTATTCCATACTACACTATGACGTGTTTATGATGTTTTTATGCCCTTCTATACCATGACATTTTTATGCCTTAGTATACTATGATGTTTTTATGACATTTTTATGCCTAACTATACTCTGACATTTTAATGTATTGATATACTATGACATTTTATACCTAACCATACTATGATGTACTTACTATACTGTGACGTATTTTATGACTTACTCTACTGTGACGTTTTTGATGCATTACTATACCATGACATTTTTATGCCTTAATATAATGATGTTTTAATGCCTTACTATGACTTTTTTTTAATGTTTTTATGACTTACTATATACTATGACTTATGATGTTTTATTTGTCCCTATAACAAGATTGATTTTACTATATACTGTATGTCATCTATAAGAGGATATATTATTGTGATATATGTACATCATCTGGCTATATGAAGATATAAGTTATTTTTAACTTCAACCATACATTTATATCTTCTATATTTATGTATATATAAATGATGAACATACACTGACAGATGGATATGTATTTATTTTAGATACGTCTATAATATAAACCTACAATAAAAACAGACATGCCAATATACATGTTTCCATTAGATAGATCTAAATGTAAATATATGATATACTTCCTATTTCTTACAGGTTTCACATGTAATTTTTACATAGGCTAAACTGTATAACATTCTGCTTAGGGCCCCCATAAAGGCTTGGGCCGGCTCTGATGATATATATGTATAGTGTTGCAGAGATACTGAAGTTGACATGCTAAGCAACTAGCCTGGTCTCCACTTCCTCAAGAGTTGATTGTGCGCAAAGGTGTAGGTTTGGTGTCAACATTGGTAGGGACACAACAACACCCCTCCCAAACAAAGACGTTGGCTTTTTAATGCGGTCAACCAAACGGTTTATTAACACAAGGTCTTAATTTTCCTTCAGTAATGCCCTTACACAAATGTAATATATGTGCATGTGTTGAACTTCCATATATGAAATATATGTACATATGAAAGAAAATAATATGTATTCAAAGTATAGCCTATATATGTAAAAATGAGATGAAAACTGTTTGGAACACTATCATATAATTACATATACTGTATGTCTAGGTAAGGAAACATGTATTTTAGTCTGTTTATATTATACACATATGTTACATAAATATGTATCCATCCCAAAGCCTATCAGTATATGTTCATATTTTATATGTAAGTATAAAAGATAGAAATGTATGTTTAAAATTAATAAGAAATTATTAAGAAAATCATATACAAACAGAATTTTGATAAGCATGTTGTTTTAATAAAGTTGCATTCTTACTAAAAAGTATTGAATAAAATAAAAAGTCATAGTATAGTAAGGCATAAAAAAGTCATAGTATAGTAAGGCATTAGAGTCGCCATTAACCCAATCCAATGGGTATGTCTTTGGACAGCAGGAGGAAGCCGGAGTACTCGGAGTGAAGCCACACAGACACAGGAACACCACGCAAAAATTCCACACAGAGGTGCTCTAGGCCTGGGGTTCGAAGTCAGAACCTTCTCACTGTGAGGCGACAGTTCTAACCACTACATCACTGTGCCGCTCCATAAATAAATCATGATATGGTTCTGCAATATCACATGAGAGGGAGTGATATACTGAATATCAGCATGGTCTGATTGTTGGTCATGATCGTCTTCAGTACTCGACCGCACGTAATTACAGCTGCCACACTCGACCGAGTGTGATATTGCTTTTATACAACAGTTCTACGAGCGCCACATTCGTTAAATAAGCATCAACGGGTTTTTATTTGTTTGTCTGTTTCATCATTTATTTGGCTACGCCAACACAAAAAGTTCTGCAACTGGACTGGTACTGGACTGTTGCAAGCAATATAAACATTGTCCCGACTTGCACAGTACACACTAGCTTGCTACTTTGTCTATGCGTTACATCTGTTGTGCGCTGAATTATCCAAGCTTCTTCCCCTCATCCTCTTCTGACGACCATACATCATTTAATTAAAATGTAATTTCTGGAAATATAATCATCATTGCAAAGTTTGTTACAATCTAAGACAGATAATGATCGTTAATGTACTGCTAATTAGCGATTAATAGAACACCTGTAAAGCGGAGTAATACACGTAGTTAAAAGTCCCAGTGCTATTATACTCTATATCGGCACTCATGGAATGCCTAAAGCAAATTACTTGGTCGGAAGTAACTGTTGTATAATAAGGCATAAAAACGTCATAGTATAGTTAGGCATTTTCATGGGAGTTTTTTTTTGACAGAAATTAAACTCATATTATGATATATCCAGCATTTTATGTTTACTCCTTCTAGTAACCTGACTGCTAGCATATAGAAGACAGAAACCAGGGTTAGCTTGCTAGTTAACACTAGCTAACAAGGTTAAATAACAGCAGTTTTTCTGGTGACGTTAGGTACCGCTGTGATGTTCTCACATCGTGAGCCTTCAGATAGCCCCTGCCTTTTCAGTCAATCAATTGCTAGCATGCCTAAATTGGTTGTCTTGGAGACGTTGCCTCTTAAGGGCACATTGGAATGATCCAATGACTTCACTCCAAACATATTTTGAAGGAGTTCACCAAATATTGGTAGAGACAATTCTGTCCTCCAAAAATATGCAACCCTGCGCCCTTGATCGTGAGTCACTCGTGGTGTGGACCAGTCTGCCCTCAGTACAACATGAGAAGATGAAGTAGCACAACCCAAAGGCCAAGAAACCACGTTCAGCGACAAAAACGTGATAGAAATAGAAGCAAAACAAGAGTCAACACTGGCGTGGTTTTCCTCCATTGGAGATAGCGCTTGACAAATAACATCATGTACAAGCAGAGGAAAAGACATTTAAATCAGGTGCAGCACATGTCAACTTCGAAATGCCTTCAGCTTTGGTTAAAAGAGGTTGAGATCTGGTGACAGAGGAGTTTACAGCATATGATTCACATCATTATCATACTCAAAACATTCAGTGACCCCTCGTGTCCTGTAGATGGGGGCATTGTCATCCTGTCTGTATATTACCTGAGAGTTGAGACAGTGATGTCATACGCAATATGCATGTTTACAGTGTAACTGGCAACAGTTCACATTTATTTGTATTCAAACAAAGACCTAATTCTGCAGGAAATATCTCAATTTGTTTCATGAGCCACCTGTCTTATGGTAATCTGTATGCCAGCAAGAGAAATAAATAACATGAATATTAGTTTGAAGAATGAATGTGGAGAGGAGCTGACAACATTAACACCACAATGTAACTGAGAACAAGGTTGAAGAATGACCTATTGAGTGTTTGGATGGATTTACAGAAATAGTGACTGTTTCAAAACTCTTACACAGCTCTCATCTATCAATATAGCTCAAATTACAATATGTATCACTACTTTTCTTTGGTAAGAAAAAAAAAGACAAACCTCTTTACTGCATGAACATGTGTGTTTCTGATGTGACTCGATACATCCACTATAACCTTTTCATCTAAAAAGTGTTCGTTTTAAGGTTCAATCAAGCAATTAATATAAAAGGTTGAACACCCTAATCAGGAGTCTGCCCTTAGCTGGTTGATGGCGAACACCCGCTGACATAAGTGGTTAGGGTGTGGTCAGAAACTCAACATGCTTTAAATTTTAAACACATGGCGCAGCAGCAGGTTTCTGCCCTGTGTGGTTTATTGTACATATAGTTAAATGCTGTCCACAGTTGTCATAGTAACACTACTAGAAACGTGCACCATCAGTGGAAAAGAGTTTGCAGCCATTTTGTTTTTCTTTCTTTGTTTCTCTCAGATTCAGTGCTGCAGCTCCTGCTCCAAACTATAATACAACAGACATGATGTTTATTGTTATTTATTTTCTAAATGTGTAGAGGCCAAACTGGGAGGTGCCCATGGTAAACAGAGGAATTTTGACTCTTCAAACACAAGTGTAATTAATAACATAATTAACTGCTGCAATGTGTTGCAGTAGTTGCTGGGACTGAGACATTGTTACGGTCATTAGATCCACTTGTGCTTTTTCTACTTTGACACTTCAAATGTCTACTGTGATAAAAGCCATTCTACCAAAGATTTGATCGTTGGTTATCAAGACTCAGCAAGATTTATTCAGAAAGTAAAACATGTAAAATTCAAGATGGACAGACTTAAGTCAAGTTACTGTTTCACCATGCAAATTAAAACAAGCAAAACACAACTCTACAATCATCGTACTGCCCGTTTAGAAATAGAGACAGATACAAAGAAACTAAACATTCATATTGTGCTCATAACTTAAAGGAGAAAACCAGTGCTTTTGTCTTCAACATTTTTTACTTTTTTAAATGTTTTTTTTTTCCGCCTGCTTCCAGACAACCATAGGATATTCATTCCCCAACTTTGAAAAAACACCGATAACTACCAGCATGGCTGATAGAGTATTTCCCTGAAAAAACAGAATTCCTGGCAGGTGGTATCTGCTTTTTCTCATACAATGAGACATACACCAGTGAACGGGCTCAGAGGCCCTTGCTGGCACTAGGTGGTCTGCATCTCCTCCTCTTCCTCAGCAGACTGGTAGTGTCGGTACTCTGGCTTCAGTTCCCAGGTGCTTTTGTGAGCTCCCTTGCTGTTGTACGTCCCAATTTCCCTCATGATTTCTTTCAGGTAGGTCTGCACCGGACAGAGATTTACAGATGATTCAAACTATTCCTTTAACGTTTTGACCAGTTTTACACTCATTTTAATGGTGATTTCCCTGTGACTCTGCTTGTATTCACGCATTCAACTCTGCTTCACATTTTAACCTGCCTAGACCTTTCACTTCTGTAATGACAGTGCTGTTTGGTTTCATGAAGAAGCATAAATCCAGCACAACCTCATGTCTAATACTGTGCAGGAGCTGTGGAAGACACTGTCAGTACAAGAGCAGCAGACAATTCAGTAGTGCTGTGTGAGACTCTCCAACGACCACTGGATGTCTCTGTGGAGCTAACAGACAGCTCTGCTCTACTGATGAATAACAGTGTTTCAAGACTTTTCATAATGGGCATTTCAGTTACTTTAGTTCAGTTAATTTGAGCGTTAGCCAAGTGCTTTCGGAGAGAAGTGATGGTGTGGAGTGTATTGCAGCGTTTGACTCCTACTCAGCTGATGGTTATGCAATCAGATGCAATCAGAGGGAGAGGATCACCTCGAGGTCTCATCAGCACCTACACATTGCTGTTCTCTGAGAGCTGGAATGAATCCACTGCACTGTATCGATTCATCCCATGTTTGTGTGTGTGTGTGTGTGTGTGTATGTGTGCACATGCTGGCACAAATTTCAGGCACAACAGATAGTGTGAACAGGCATGAACATCATGCTGTGGGCGATTTGTTCAAAATTTAACAAAGGAAGGTGGATAGTGGGCAGGTGTATTGTTTTTTTTTGTGGTCCAGTTTTCTTGTTATATGTGTTTATTTATGTATGTGTGTTCATGTATGTGTGCATGCTGCTCACCACAGGTTGTCTGGTGATGTCCACGAGGTCCTTAATGTTGTAATACTGGTGCTTCTCAAAGGCAGAGAAGAGCATGTCCAGCACGACCTGCCGCTCAGCCCTCACCATCTTCCCCTCCGACTTCTTCTTCTTCTCATACTCCACCTTAGAATAGAGATGTTTGTTTAGTTAGTCTGTACTTATGCCCATGAAAAACACTGAATGTGAAGCTCATGCCTAATCATAATATAAGCATTTAGTTAATATGTTTGATTGCACTTTTTAAAAGTTGCACACGATGATAAAATCTGGCTATTATTCTTTATTATTTTTCTATATTCTTTTTTTCCCCACTTACTGGACTTGTAATTGTGTTGAACATATATCAAGTTGTGCTTCCATAAAGTTGGTGAACTTACAAGAAACATATTTTATTTCAAAGTTTTGTCAAAATCAAAGAGGTAAAGGCTGAGATGTTTTGACTTTTAGTCTCCAAAATAATGAATCAAATCAAATTGAGGTTGGATCACTCATTCCCACCTCAATTGAACTACTCTAGAATTAGGGTGTGACCTGACAGAGACCACTTCCTCTAAAGGGGTCACAGTGTGTTTGTTTTGCTACTGTTGCTGTGTTCAGATCTGCCCAAATGAACTGAACCAAAGGCTAAAACAAGCACTGTTCATCTGTTTTCACAGGAAGAAAAATACTAAAATTTCCTCTTTAAAAATACATTTAAAGAAAAAAGAGAACACCTTCAGAAGCTAAAATACCTGTTATGCCACTAGTGTTACAGCACCTTCAGGATCATATAATATCAAATTACACTGTATGGTGTGCAGTGATTCAGATGTTGTGTGACAGAGTTTATGAGACCTACAGATGACTTTTTATAGGTAAAATGTACAGGTCAACTCTGTAGCAACCTTCACTACCTCAGTCCTACAACTTTCTATCAATATTATCATGCTATCATTTTATTTTATATTAAACCAACTACACACACACACCCTTGCTGTTATTAGTTCTTACATTGAAATCGTGGTTGGCCACAGGCTTGAAGACAGTGGTGATGGCTCTTTCTAGCTGCTGTGAGAAACGCTGAGGCTTGGTGGACTCTTCAATCTGCAGCCTGACACACACACACACACACACACACACACACACACACACACACACACACACACAAAAAGAGAGAGAGACAAAGTTTGCTTTGTGTTTTCTGTGATCTAGCTTGATCTATGCTGACAGATGTGCCTGCTGGCACAAAGCAACTGTCAGCACCTTGAGGTTAAACTAACCAAATATACTGGCAGCTGCTTTTCATTTATTTTTTGTTGACTTTCATTCATCTTGACTGGGCCGCTCATTGAACATATTTTATTTAGATTGATGGTTGCATACAACAGCAAAGATAATTGGCTCGGAAAATGTTGAACTATGATCAGCTATGCAAATGAAGCTTTTAGTAAAGCTTACTGATGCATGAGAGACATTTACACACTTGTTTTTTCCTTTTCTCTCATTTAGATTTTTGTAGATGAGTCATATCTCATCCTCCATACTGTACGTTAATGAACACTAAATAAAAACTTTGTTTTGTATCTTGCAGCATTTAGAGGATAGTTTTTTGTCTTTCATCTTTAATATGCAAATATATGTGGCAAAATGCTTCATGTAATACATATAAATCATTTATCTACAGTAGAAAACATGTGGTGAAGCAAAACTGTTCATGAACACACACACACACACACACGCACACACACACACACACACACACAACCATGACAACGGACTATCCTGCATAGCCTGTAGCCTGCCATGATGCAGGAACATTTGTCAGCTGCCATCCAAATGGGAGATTATAAAACTGGAGTGAAAAGTGAAGACTTTCCTTGTCAAGTGTGAAATGAAATACATCTGGTTCATGTGTACTATACAGTAGACAAATATCACCACCATGTAACATCTAAGAAGAATCCACGCTAGATGATCTGCACATACACTTGAAAACACTTTTTTTTTGCAGGAGGATGACATAAGACGTTCACAGAAGAGTCTCTGTGAAGTTCAGAGACAACAACTTTTTATCCTGTAGTGTGTCTCGCTGATTGGATGGTTTATGTCATACTAAGTAAACTGTGTTGTATGTTTGTCTAGAAATGTAATGTAGCAATGCATCTGCCACAGTCATAGCTGTTGCTATAGCAATACCATCCTCTAAGTCTGGCTGGAATAACGAATTCCAATAAAGAAGTAGTTTAAAAAAAAGACAGAGTGAACTCGAGTGTTTAGTGTACACAAAAGAACAGTTGCAGTGATGGCCCTGTCAACGCATTAGAACTTCTCTGCTCCTGCTGGAATAAATTCGCAACACTTGAACAGATTTTGCGTCGTCCAGGGTTGAAAGAAACAAATTCAAAAAATACTACTCTGACAGTTTGGTTCATTTCTGTTGACATTTGTGTTTAATATACCCCAAATTTGATGAATAATTCATCTGTAGTCTGTCTGCTCCTTTACTGTAGTGAAAACACTACAGACTATTACAGACTGCATATTATTGATTTCAGGTGCATCATTAATATCAACTTTAGACCCCTACAGTGCGTTTGAGAGGTCATGTACATGAATACAATGACCATTCCTGACCATGTCAGGAATGTGCTTATATTTTAACCTTTAACAAATTTTGTTGAAATATTATGCTGTTATTTAGTGTCAATAAACACATGATGTACAGTAATGGTACTACAAAAAGATTTTTTCTGTTTCTCTTTAATCATATGAGTGTTGGTATTGTTGTTTTAATTAATCTGTAACATCAGTTTGCTGCATTCTAAAGTTTATTCTAACCCAGTGCCGCTATAAGGCAACCTAACATTTAAGTTCATCTGGATTGATTTGATGTAATCCTGAGATGTGTTTAGACCATTCGACCTTTTCAAACTACAGCGTTTCTGACACAAACAACTTCAAAGTTCACTCACTTCTTCAGCTTCATGTAGCTGTCGTTGACAACCGGTCTGCATTCAGCTCTGTGCACCACCATCCCCTCCAGACTGATTTCATCTACAACAGACACAGTGACTCAGCTGCTCAATCATCGTCCAGACACGTACACACAAAGTTTGTTGAAAACAAATGTAAAAGTCTTTGTTATCCACATTTTGTTGATATAAAACTTTTTAAATAACCTTATATACTATTTTGTCACCTAACATCACATCACACAATCTTGTTAATTGTCTTTTGAACCATTTCTCATAAGCATATACATCTTTACAATGCAATGAGAGGAATTGGTTCTCTATATATTATATACTGTATTTATTTCTTATATTTTTATTTATCCTTTTCTTTAAGGCTATAGGGTGGAGGGTGGTGCTGAGGGTGAGGTAGGGTGTTCATAAAATGGCACCATGGCAGGAATGAGGTTTTGGAAGAATTGGGGACATGCTGTGTGATGTGGGGACAAACAATACATATATTGATAGGATGCCATTTGCTGGATCTTCACAGAATCATTAAAGGATGTAGTAAAAGCAATACAAGTTATATCACAGAAAAGGGTTAAATTTAGTCTCAGATGTCTTCTGATCCTCCTCACTGAGCCAAAGTTAGCCCTGGGGGAGAAACAGAGCTCAGCAGAGTTGGGACAAAGTAGAAGGACAGCCATCTCTGCAGCACCATGGCCGTTTACCACAAAGGGCCACTGAGCGTTACTCCACATGAAGTCACACTCACAGCAGAAGTTCTCTGCACAAACAAGGAGGGTATTAATAATTAGGTGAATTGTGGGATCATGCTACCGTAGCCCTAAATATGGCAAAGCTGGCCTTGAGCCACGTGACATCAGATTTGACCTTTCATAAATACAATGCCACTTACAACGCTAGAGAGGCTTTATTAAAAGTCTCTGAAAGACTTTGAGCAGCCGAAAACCTGAACCTGCCCTGAACCCGAATAAAAATCTGTGTTCACATATGAGGACTGCAATTTACCAGCACTTTCCCATCCGATTTGACAAAGCAGGAGAAAATGTGCAAAGAATGAAGTTGCTCAAATCCGGGTGTGCACAGCTCACAGAAGCAGCCTCAAAAATACTTGTAGCTGTAATTAATGTCTGTGGTGGTTCTTCAAAAAGTAAAATACAATAAATTAACACGTACAACACACCATTTAGTTTTTTTTAACAAATGTGTTAAAATGTATAATTAGGAATGTTAGACTGATAAAATGCCACAAAACTGGGAAAAAGAAGTGTTCTACTTCAACCAGAAATCAGTGTTTTCATGATGGCATAAAATCTCATTTGAATGTGAAGAGCAATTCACACTTTTTGGGGGTATTTTTTACCTATTTTTCAATTGTATAAATCATGTGGTCCTAGATATTAATACATGAAAAGCATTAAGTCAGTACATTTCACCCTTGATCCTGTTATGGCCCACTCAGCCCTTGATAACCCATTCACCACTCACAGCTTGACATTTTCAGCCATTACTGATTCACCTTGAATATGGCCCTTTCATTTGTTGCATTTAGATTTCAAGCTGTTCTTTCATGAGGTGCTTTGGCCAATTATTTAACTGTCCAACCCACAACCTTTTTCCTAAACCATTTGAGGACTGGAGAGGACCACTCTTCTGCTCCTCTCCAGTTGTTATTGCAAGCCAGTCTCATTGTTTGTTTTTCTATTTGCAAATTTTGAGTTGACTGTCCAGGAGATGGTGGAGTCCAGTTGATGAGTGTTGGTGTTATATTGGCAACAGCTCTGTCTCTGTCTCTGTCTATTGTTGTATGATTTGGCATCTTTTGTATCTGGACACAAAAAAAAGGTCTGAGAAGCTGCTACATTTCAGACATACTAGTTAAAGAAAATCAGCAGACAGTGACAGAGTAAGTCTACAGAGAACTGTCGAGGTGAACAAACAGGTGAAGAGGCTTTGGTAAAGACCAGATTGACAGGCCCAGATGACCTGTGGAGAAAAGAGAGAGGCTGTCAAAGTTATTTTAACCCGCTCTTACAGAACAGTGTGAAATCCTGTAAAATCACAGTTAGTAAATCCTCTAGGGACACATGAAATTCCCTCCCTTGTCTCCATGCTTTCCTCACTCGCTTCTTTTGCTTTTGTCTTAGTCCCTCCCACTTAAAATGTGGGAGAGAAAAGAAAAGAAACGAAACTCTCTCTCTCAGGCGTCATCTGCTGCAACGTCAGTCTCTGATGACGGAGACACAGCAGGATCACCAGTCAGTCAGCCTAAAAAGCTCTGTGGCGTCTTTTGTTGTGTATCCGCTGATGATGTGATGTATTGTGCAGATAATAATAAGGGTGCACGTTACCACAGCTGAGGCAGTTACTGTTTTACTGAGGTCCTCCCACATGACAAAACAGAATGTAAAAAATACTTGTCACTGCTTAACGCAGCCGCACATACACAACTAATCTCTTTTCAGACTTTACAGATCAAAGTCAATTGAATCTAATGTACTTCAATGCTCACACTGGATTCACAAAGTCATTTCTACTAGCAGCAAAATATTTTTGTATTCATCAATTATTTATGTCTGCATTTATTAAATTTGCGCTTGTAAAGTCTCTATTTAATGATTTATGAAATAATGGGGATGGATAAATAATTTAGTGGCTTATACAAACTTGTTAAAAATAAGGAAATTAGTAATTTATTCTAAATATAAATCCACTGATGTTTATTGCTTTGTTAATGTTTTTTGTTTATCGGAATCATAGTTAACATATAGCCGCTGATTCTAATGATTTACCACATGTAAATAAGAAAACAAAATGTAGAAGTTGGGAATACTAAAACACCTCAGGTTGGTTTTGTTCTTCGTCAATCCATGATGGATCAATAAGCTACACTGTCCAGCCACTAACAGATTTGCTAGGGAAGATGATGCTATATTTTCATGCTCCTTATTAAGAGAATTAAGAGCACTGGAGCGTAGTGATGGTAGAGCTGGTTGCTTCCTAACACATAAATCAAGGAGCAAGGAACAATAAAATAAGAGAAAAGGCAAAACCCTATGTATTCATGATCCTTTTTGTTTGTGCAAACTGGGCGCAAACATTTCTTAAGCATCTCACCAGCTCTCCATGTGTGAGTGTGGTCAATGAATACCAACTAAACCAACTAAAAATACACTCAAATTCAACTAATAACGTTAAACTGCAGGGAGCATGTTGAGTGGTTATTTATGTTGACCCAGTATTTTTTTGGTTGGGAAAATAACTGACAACTTCAACTTCACTGTCCTGCACTGCTTTGTGATGGCCTTTTCTTTTCTTTGAAAGTTACATATTTTATTGTTCTATGAAATATGTGAATTCTTAAAGCAATGCCTAGTTTGATAGTAATTTATTCATCCCCTTGGGAAAATTCAGGTGTCCAGTTGCTGCCACAGTGTAGATTATCAAACCATCTACAAATAATACACAACAACTAAGATTAACAATAATAAAGATTAAAAAAAAGTAGGTGAGCATAATAAAAACAACTCTTAAAAATGTAAGAGTCCAGTGTTTGAGGCTGGTTGGATTTGTAGGGAGGGACAGAGGCTTTTGGATATTAGCCACTGGCTAAAGTAAGGTGTTGTGCAGCCTGATGGCCGTGGGAACGAAGGATCTCCTGAACCCATCTCACAGGGCAGTGAGATGAGATGTCTGCCTACCAGAATGTTGTGTAGGGGATGATCACTATTGTCCAAGATTACCTGGACCTTACTCCGTGTACATCTCTCCACCACAGTCCCCAATGAGCCCAGCCTCCTGCCAAGCACTGAGCCCTCCTCTGTCACCAGTTTGTGCAGCCGCCTAGTATCCTTGTCTTTTATGCTGGCCCCCCCAAAATGTGCAGCATTTCACTGCAGACGTCAGAGCACCTGAGCCTACTTATGAAATAGAGCAGACTCTGCACCTTTCAATAGAGGACATCAGTGTTCACAGACCAGTCCAGCTGGTTGTCTAGATGTTGCTGTTCTACTGATCATAGACTTATTGGTATTGGTAAAATGTTTCTGTTTTAAGTGGCTACTTGACTCATGGTGCTTGTTGGTAAACTTGAACCATCTTTCACAAAAAAAATTATAGCAGAAGTTATAAAAAAGAACTGCTGGTCCTTGCACTGACACATTTCCTTACTTATTGTCAACAAATCCCATAAAAAATAAAAACCAACAATGTGTTTGGAACTTCCCTCCCCTACCTCAGCCACACTGGTTCCTATTTAAGACATCAAGGACAAATTTATAGTTTAGTTATTATAAAAGGCTAAATACTTTCCTAAAACAGCTGGGCACTGTAGGTTTTAGCAAACATTACTCAAACAGGAGGGATTGGTGCATTTAATGGGGACTATTTTCATCCCCAGATTAATACACATTTGGTGCACTAGTGAGTATTTACAGCAGCAGCACAGAGTAAGTGATACTGACACAAAATAAACTACAACACCCAGGTTTATTGTAATGAAGGCACATGTCACACAATACAACAGTGTGGCTCATTTATGTATTTTGAATAGGTTTTGGAGTGGCACAGCCGAAAAAAAAAAATCAGGCTGTGGCTCCAGGAGCAGTACTTGTCAGTGGGATCAATTCATTGTTGGCTTTGCTCTTCTCATGGGATTTGTTGAGCAGCCTATTCAGTGTTAATCAAAGCTGAAGAAAAGCAGGTGCAACAGCCACGGTCACCATGGTAACCATCACATACCACCCGACATCACATGTCATGAAACATTCCATCAAGTGCCCACAAGGGTCCGCTTTTAATCTTGAGGCAACAAACACTTTGCAGTACATGTAACAGATCTCACTAATGTTCATCTTCGCCTTTTCCACAAATGGATACAATTATGTGCAATTATTGGCTGGTGAGTGCCAGAGCACTTTCCAGCAACATGTCCAAAAACACACCCACACACAAGAAACATGTGTGTACACATGCACAGGGCCAAATGAAAACCCTCTGAACAATTACTCAGAATATGATCGAAATCTCAATATGGCGCTGCAATTTTTTGATAACGGTAAAATGTGTCAGAACATA